TTATAGGATAAGTCCCTTTTTCCCCACGCAATACTTCTTCAAATGTATCATGGCTGTTCTTGATCCTTTGTTCTTCCATATAAGTTATTGAACCAGCTTCTTAAATTCTACAATAATTCTTTTTGGGATTTAACAATTGTGATTACATTGAATTGATAGATCAATTTGGGGAAGACTAACAACTCTAAAATATTGAGTTTTCCAACCCATGAATGGGAAATATTTCTCTCTTTAATATCATTCAAAACATTTTATAATTTATAATTTTATGCATAAAGATCTTGGAGCTCTTTTGCCAGATTTACGCCTGTATGGTGGTATTTATTTTTTATTGAGGTCATATTGGCTTATAACATTGTGTAAATTTCAGGTGTGCATTATTATATTTCAGTTTCTGTATAGACTGCATCATGTTCACCACCAATAGTCTAGTTTGCATCTGTCACCACACGTGTGCCCCTTTATCCTTTTTGCTCTCCCTCTACCCCTGCTCCTCTGCTAACCACTAATCTGTTCTCATCTATGTGCACATGCGACGACATGGATGAACCTTGAAAGTATTATGAAGTGAAGGAAGCCAGATAAAAGGACACATATTATATGACTGCATTTATATGAAATGTCTAGAATGGGCTAATCCAGAGAGATGGAGAGCAGATTAGTGGCTGTGTAGGGCTGGGAAGATGAGGGGGTTAGAGGGTGACAGCCAAGGAGTACAAGGCTTCTTTATGGGGTAAAGAAAATGTTCTAAAATTGATTGTGGTAATGATTGTACAACTCTGTAAATATACTAAAAGCCTTTAATTGTACACTTTAAATGGGTAAATGGTATGGTATGTGAATTACATCTCAATAAAGCTTTTAAAATTGTGTCATCATTCCATCATGCTATTTAACATTTCTGAACAACCCAACTTGGACCAAAATACCCCAGTTTTTAACACCAGACTTCACACCTTAACAGAAACACTGCATAGATAAGACAGAAAAATACAACAAACCCTTCTTTGAATATCGGTGTCTTGATGAAAGGAGGCTTCACTGGTGCCTCACTGACACGTTTATACTCTTACGTGGCATCCTGGGGCAGTGCATCCTAGGAAGATTGGGGATGGGTAAAGGTTGCTGTGTGTGTGTGTGTGTGTGTGTGTAAAGCGTTTGGAAGATAATTTTGAAAGGGAAGGTGGGAAAAGAGAACTAGAATGAAATCTCTAGGTGTATGCTCAGGTAGATCAATTTTAGGAAAAAATGTGAGGATCTGGAAACTGATTCCCTTAAAACTGTGCACGTCTGAACTTCCCTTAGAAGACCTTCAGGTACCCAGCTTGAAGATCTGAGCTGTAGTTCAAAACCTTGTCTTTCAAGACCATAATCTCTGCTATGAATTGATCCAGCTTCTCTGGCAGCAATGCCAAGAATTTGACTCTGACTCCTCCATTCAGCTGAGCCAGCCTTCTCGAGGTGACAAGCCCTGAATCCTTCAGCCTCGTGGTCTAATTTTCATGTGGGAAGAGCTTAGGAAGGAAGAAGGAGGATCACCTTGGTTAGTATATGAAATTATGATCCCACTATGCTAAAGATCTCCCATTTTAGCAAGCGTCCTAGCGATTCTGTTGCAGGTGGGAGTGGCCAGTACTGTCCAGTACTGCAAGAGAAAGAAACAATGCTGAGAAGAGGACAGAGAGGACAGAGCTCTCAGGAGACACTCTGGTGGCCTGGTGGGAACAGAGGTTGATCTGGAGCCAGAGAGCAGAGACAACACTTAGGAAGCTCAACTGAGGAAAGAGACGGGCAGACAGCAACAGGCAGACCTCAGAGCAGAGGAGGGTTTGCTTTCAGGACAGGAGAAACTTGAGAATATTTGTGGGATGAAGAGAAGAAATCAGCAAGGGGATGTGGAGAGAGGGAACTGAGGAGGCTGAGAAGTTGTGAGGGGACAGAATGAAGACACAGGGAGGCATCAGCTTTGAATCGTGGACGGACACCTCTTCTTCTGAGGTGCTCAACAGCAGCAGCTCTGGAGAGATTTTCGGTGGACGTGGATTGTTTCTGGAGCTCAGATCAGCTGACTCTATTTCTCCAGAGTTCTGGTGCCAGAATGAGAGGTAAGGGGCTGAGAAAGAAGACAGGGGAAGAGTGGGCCCCAGGACACCAGAGAGGGTGGAGAGCCAGCTGTGGGGAATGGCCTCTGGAGTCAGTAAGAGGTGACTCAGTGGTCAGCTGAGCCTGGTGGGGTGGGGAGGTGGGAGCTGGGCTTAGCTGCATGGATCTGGAAGACCCTGCTCTTCCAGCGGGCGGATGGCAGTGAGGTGAGCAGAGGAGGGGGCTGCCCAGGGCTGGAGAAGTGAGGAATGTGGGAGAAGTTCCAGGGGACAGAGGGTCAACTGTGAAGTCCAACGTCCTGGCCTGGAAGGAGGAAAGTAAGACCTGGGCAGAGGGGCAGGCTTTGAAGAGAGAGGCCAGCCAACAGAGAGGTCAGGAAGATGAGGCTGAGCAGGTGAGCAGGACTGAGGGGGAAAAGGAAGGGGATGGAGCAGATATGAACCAGGAGGACATGTAGTGTCCTGCGTTGTCTAATAAGAGCCCCTATCCTCCTGGGGCCTCGTGTACGTGGTTAGTCCAAACTGAGCTGTGCTATAAGTGTAAAGTATACACTGGATTCCGAAGACTTAGCATGAAAAAAAGAATGTTAAATATCGCATTAATAAATGTTTACATTGATTACTTGTTTAAACAATATTTTGAAAATATTGGGTTAAATAAAATATATTATTAAAATTAATTTCACCTGTTTCCTTATACCTTTTTAACATGACTACTAGGAAATTTAAATTACCCATGTGGCTGGCATGATATTCCTGTTGCAGGGCACTGGCACAGACACTCCCTCCCAGGGCCATGGATTGTCCATGTCGTGCCTGTGGCCCCAGCACCTGGAACAGGGACCTGCACGCAGAGGCCTCAGCGATGGTGTGTGTGTGTGAAGTGGAGGAGAAAGTGAATTCATGATGAGTGAGAGAATGGATGAATAAGGATTCTATATGCTGTTCCAGAACATGGTCAGTTTCTTCTAAATTGCTGAGGGTTACGTGTGAGTACACACATGACTGAAAGGGAAACAGGGAGTTGGAATTGAGGAAAGCTCACCAAGGCTTCGAGAGCGGGAATCTCAAAGAGTATTTGATGGGACCTCACTTAACATAAGGGCCCAAGAGCCCGGACCCTTGCCTCACCCCTCTTTCTTTCCTTCTAAAAAAGTACTCCTGTAGCACTTTAATATATGCCAGGGACTGTCCTCGGCATTTTGCATGTATTGACTCATTTAAACTTCCCACCACCCTATGAGGTTGGCACTCTTACTGTCTCTCTTTTAGATAAGGAAACTAAGGCACAGAGATGGTGAGTAACTCACCCAGGATGACCCAGGAAGTGATGGAACTGCTATTCAACCAGGCCATCTGTCCCCAGCGTCCATACCCCTAACTCCTACACCCCCCGTCTCTCTTATCCTGTCATCTCGCCTCATCCCCAAGCTTCTCTCCAATAGAGAAACAGGTTTCTTTTTCTCCCTTGACTGACCTCTCTTCCACCCCCAGTCCCTCAGACCTCGTATTCCAGGAGAAAGTTCTCAATGAACCTTGCTCTCTGGAAACAATTGTAAGTAACCCTCCAAGTTCCCCACAAATGAGACACAAACACACACAGCTTCATGGTCGAATACAACAGCCAAGTAACCCTGCCCCCCCGTTCCCTCTGCCCCATCCCTGAGCCTGGCCCTGTCTTGACATGAGTGCAGCCATATTTGGCCGTTCCATTAACCTACAGCCACCAGCACACACAAAAATATAAAGCTGCTTTCTGTGTGGTGGGAACTGGCCTTTTTCCCAGAAACTGGCCTTTCTCCCACGAAGATAGTTGCAATTTGTAAGAATTTCAAGGTCCTATGGGCATCGTAGCGCAGGACGGACTGGCCATCTGTGCCGGGCTGGGACGATAACCAGAGAAAACAACGCACATACACAACTACTGGGCTGGGATGATAGCCAGGAGGCTCAGTGCACGTACACCACTGATAACCATTCGTGCATGGAAACACTGAATGCTTGCCCTGTAAACTCTGTAACTGCTTATATAAACTGCTGGAGACTGAGACCTGGTGAGAGTTCCACCTGTGGAAGGGACACCTTGCCCAGGATGTGTGATCCCTGCCCAGCCATGTGGATTGACAGGACTCTCCCGACAATGGGGTGTGGATGTTGTAAGTAATTAATTTATTGTAAAGTAATTGATCTAATGTGTTCTCTTTTCAGTCAACCTGGTGTTTCTCTTTCCGGTTGATTTGTGTCATTTCCCTTCAGTCGATCTGGAGTTTCCCTTTCCAATCGATCTGATGTTTTTCCCTCTTATTATATGACCTATTTGAATCTGCCACTATCTCAGCAGATGCGGTGTTTCCCTTTCCGATCGAGCTGGTGTTTTTCCCTCTTAATATTTGGCCTATTTGGATCTGTTTACAGACTATCGCCTTTACTATCCTCTATATAATAAAATATACCTTCAGTCCATTTGTTTGGAGTGGAAAGTTTCTTTTACGTCTCCGATCAAATCCCCCAAACCTCTCATAACAGGCCCACACCACCTTCTCCTTTCCCAGACCAGGAGGCTCCTCTCCCAGACTGGGGATTGGCCCTCCCCGCCCTCCTGGGCAGACTCGAGGTTAGTGACTGTTGGAGGAGCCTGAGGCTTCACAGCTCTAAGCAACTGCTTTACCTGTCAGTCTAGCAGATGCCTGCAAGGTGTCTACACAGGACAGAACACGGGGTTTCCAGACATCACCTTGGCCAGTGCCCAGGAGATGCTCACTCCCACCCACCAGGGACTCCATTCCAGCCTCAGCTTTGATCCCTCCAGTGACAGAGTAGCCCTGAGTTTCCACCCACGAGGAGCAGCCCTAGCCCAGGATCTCCCCTTCAGGGCCAAACACAGACTGAAGCACTAAGAAGGAACCCACAGGCCATCTTCCTCTCTTTCTCTCTCTCATTAAATTGTGAATAATAATGCATTTACTTATTCTCCCAACTAAAAAGTGGTTTAATTCCTTTGAAGAACCTTGCAAGGTAGCTTGGCTAGACAGCAGGCGGGACAGTCCAGTGGCTCCGGTGGGGGAGCCAGGGTCTTCCACTTGCCTGTCTTTTGGTCCAGCAAGTATGCGTTTGGATTGATGGTGTAGTCCCTTTTCTGAACATCACTGGCTCTGGTGACACCCCCACATACAAACACCCTGCCATCTCCAATGGAGCATATAGCATGGGACACATCTAGGGGGCAGTTGTTGGGCAAGAGAGGCACTGACGTGGTCATCTTGTTGGCCTTTATCTTCTGCAGGTTAATTTCCATGCTCTGCCGGTGGCTGTGCACACAGAGGATGTTGTCCTGATGGAAAGACAGCAGGGGCCGGTGGCTGAACTCAATGGGGAAGGTGATACTCTGGACCACCTCCCCAGTGTTGGTGTCAAAACAGTCCACCACCCCGACTCGGGAGATGTAGCCCTTCACCAAGCACCGCCCAGTGACAATGTACAGGTTCTGGTCACCCTTGGTGATCACGGCTGTGGCATCCATAGGGATGCTCATCTTCCCTGCCAGGCACCAGGCCTCCTTGCGCTCATCATAACAATAGATATTAGAGACATACCGCCTTGGGGCAATGCTCCCACCCACTGAGTACACTGTCCCCCCACAGGTCACCATGGTGTGGAAGACAAGCCCAATGGGCAGGTCAGGCAACTTGGTCCAGGAGTTGTCATCCATGTCATACCGCCAAGCGGTCTTCAGCCCTGTAATTTGCTCATTGGTGCCACCAGAGACATAGATGTAGCGACCAGTAGAGGTGGCACTAAGTGCTGCTGCCCGATAGGGCATCTCTGAGAGCTTCAACCACAAGTTCTCCTGGATGATATAGGCAAACACTCCACTGTTGTACTTGCCATGGGCCTTTTGGCCACCTAGGATGACCACCGAATCAAGCAAGGCCCCTTTCCGCTGGTAGCTCAGCAGGCTGGATGGCCTCTCCTGCTTTCGTTCCACAAGGACACTCTCAATCAGGGTTGCGTGGGCCGAGTTGTTCTTCATGCCCATCAACTTGTTGCTGGCAAACATCAGCGTCTTATTGGAGACGGCATTGAGATTGATGTAAGAGAAGAACTTCTTGAAATACTTCTCCCGCTCATCCTTGCGGAAGTACACCCAATTGATAAGTGCGCTGAGAGCCTGGTCCTCATTGAGCAAATGCAAGTTTTCATCTTGAAGCAGGCGGCCAAAGATGACAGGTGGGCAGCGCATGAAGCTCTCAGGCTGCATGGAACCCTCAGCACTGGCCCAGTAGTGGAAGTTGTCACGAATGCCATTGTAGGCCAAGTCTGATACCTCTTTGAGCCCAAACAACTCAGCCAAGATGAGATAGTGCAAGCAGTTGGCACGGCGGATGGACTTAATCAGGAAGTCATTGCAGTGGATTTGAAGGCGCGGTGTGTTGAAATACTGGGCCCCACGAAGGAGCTCCTCCACGTTCTGCTCCGAGATCACCACCTTGCCGCTGTAGAAGTAGTCCAGGAGCTGGTCCACGGTGGCCGGACTCAGGTAGTTGGGGTCAATGGTGATAAAGAGCTCATCGGTGGTCTTCACATCATTTGCAGAGATGATGTTCTTCACTACTGAAGAGACAGCAGCCAGCACAATGCGATGTGCAAAGAAGACATGGTGGTTCACAGTCAGGGCCATGTCCCAGTACTCTTTGCGTTTCCTCTGTTCATTCAGTTTCTGCAGCAGGAAGCTGTCATAGTTTTTCTCAGTGAATATCAATTTCATGGTGCTTCTTGCAGGCTTTGGCAGAAGATCAGCAGCAGGTACTGGAGAAAAGACTTTCTCAGGCCGTTGGGATTCAGACTGATGGTTGTTTGCAGAGCAGCTGATCAGGGAGGAGTGAAGGATGGGAGAGAGGATGATGTCATAGTTGATGTGGTCATCACAATGCAGGTCCCCCTAAGGCCTTTCTCAGAGGCTCAGGGCCTTTCTCCCCTATGATGGTTCCAACCTGCCAAGGCCAGATACCGTTAGGACCTAGTGCCCAGGGCCCAGAGTTCAGGAGGAAACTCAGAGACGGGTTGTGACTCCCACCCAGGACCTGCAAAGCTGCTTCTGGAGTGTCAGAGCCTGTTGGGCAAGGGGCGGCGTGAAGAGGGATAAGGGCAGGCTGGGGGAAGGAAAGAGATTATTAGACCATCCAGAAGAATGCTCCCATTGTACAGGAGGGAAACTGAGGCCCAGACAAGAGAAGGGACTTGCCCAAGATCACACAGCCAGTTGGAAGCAGAGCAGGACCTAGAAGCCAAGCCTTCTGTAACTTAGTACTCTTTCCGCCCTTCCAGAAGCTCCTCACTACTCAGCTTTCCCCAGCCTCTGATTCTCAGGCCTGGAAGTGCCTTTCTCTGCCAAGGTTCTGGCCATCAGAGAAGAAAGGCTCTGTCCTTTGGCTTCTGACCTTTGTGGCCACAGGCACCACTCTTCTTTAACATAGAGGGAGAGGTGGAGGCCACTCCCTGGAGCAGGGATGCTGGAGGTAGCATCCAGTGAGTGGGGATGGGAGGGCCTCTAAAGCCCTGATCGTTTCAATTCCATGGCAAACTGGGACATCCTCTGCACATTCCCAAGTTTCTAGCTGTAAAATGTTGGGGGCTGTGGGGGTCAGCTCTCTCCATCAAGTGTGGACTTGGACAAGTTGCTCAGCCTCTCTAAACCTCAGTTTCCTCATGTGTGACATCTGAATAATAGAACCTGCTTCAAAGGTTGTTAAGAGTTTAAGTGAGAAAATGACCAAAGAGTGTTAGCACAGTTTGGCTCGTAGCAAATGTCCAATAAACGCTAGTTACCATTTTGTTGTTAGTGCTGTCGAGTGGATTCAGACTCCTAGAGGCCGTGTGTACAGCAGAGCAGAACCCTCCCCGGTCTTTTTTGCACGATCCTCTCACCTTCCAGCACTATATCAGACAATGCTGTGCTGTTATTCACAGGGTTTTCATGGCCAATTTATTTGGAATTGGGTAGCCATGTCCTTCTTCCTAATCTGTCTTAGTCTGGAAGTTTTGCTGAAACCTGTCCACCATGGTGACCCTGCTGGTATTTGAAATCTCGACGGCATAGCTTTCAGCATCACAGCAACATGCAGCTGGCACAGTATGACAACCGACAGACGGGTGGTGTGGTTCCCTGAGAGGGAAAAGAACCCAGGCTGTGATGATGAAGCACCGAATCTTAACCACTAGACCACTAGGGCTGGCTGCGTCCTATAGAGTATAGTTTGAAAAATATTGACCTGAGTATCTGATTTGTAGACCTTGCTCATGGGTGAGAATCCATCCAGTGTTCTTACTACAGCATTAAGATAGCTAATGTCATATTAAAAACAAAAAACAAATAAACATAGTTCAAGACTCACTTTTTCCTTTTCCTCCAACAATACAAGACTTCTGAAGGTCTATACAGTGCATATCCATGCAGTTTTCTAAGAGTCCACTTTGTCCACATGAGCAAATTTTATAACAACCAACATCCCCTGCAGATGATGGCACCTGAATTAGTGTCCCTTAACGGACGATAAAATCAGAGGCTTCTGCCAATTTGCAACTGTACAAACAAAAATTACCTGAGATGATATTGTTTTATGCCCTTAGATATCCCTCACATAAGTCTTACAGGTTCTGTGTGGCTACTAAAGATTATGAAACAGAATTTTCAGCGAACTAAGGAGTTGCTTTGGTTCACTGGTCAAAAACATACCCTCTCAAATGAAAATTCCATGTTCTATGAGATGCTGGTGATTATGGACCTATACTCCAAAGTTAGCTCTAGTTCAGTATAAAAATGCTATAAGATATGTAGTTTTTTATTTCTTTGGGCTTAGTGAAGACACTCAAAAGTCACAGATATTTTTAAAATGGTGTATTGAAACTGACTTAGTTTTAGAATAATCTTGGCCAGGAAAACTTTTAGTGATAGAATACAAGCATACCTTAAATTCAAAGAAAAGTTGAATACTTGATTGGGCTTAAGGAAAATCCATTCATTTCCAATTTTCTTTTTTCCTCCCCAGAGCCCCAGTGCGTAGTTGTATATTCTAGTTCTTCTGTGTGAGCTGCCACCACAGCATGGCTACTGACAGATGAGTGGCATGGTTCCACGACCAGGAACTGAACCTGGGCTGCCAAAGCGGAGTGCATCGAACTTGAACCACTAGGCCATCAGGGCTGGCTCTCATTTCTGATTTTAACAAGATTTATCATGACTCTATAGCTGATATATTATGGTATTACAGAAATATTATAGAAGATCCTTTGAGATATCGTGCTTATTTAATTTAATCTTTTGTTCCTTTTTACTTCACACATATTTAAAAATGTCGATTCTATCATGATAAAGAAACACTTTCAATTGGGAAACAGATATAAGGAAACAAAATGTTGCCACGACTATATTCTAAAGGGACCTACAAAGAGATAAAGACTTAGAAATTCTATGGGATAAAAATTTCTCAGCCTTAAAATCATATGCATTTCAGCACAACATTAATCTCTATGGAGATAATTACACTTTGCATTGAGTATGCCATTTCTCCATATCCTAAAGGAAAGAAAAGAAAAAACGCGAGCAATGTGCAGGATATTTTCTCAAACCTTACACCCCGGAAGACAAAGTACAAAAAGCTGGCCCAAGGTTTTCTTTTCTTTTGTTGTCAAGAGCCCTGTAACTCACTAAGAGAGTCTGAGTTTGGATTGATATTAGTTTATAATCTAAATGACTACTGAAAATTACATCTGCCTTTGTCTTTCTCTGCTTATATAAATAATACATGTTTATTGGGAAAACCTCAAACATTACAGAAAAACATAATTTAGAAAATAAAGTCCCTTGCAATCTCATTCCAAAGATAACCCCTGTAAAGAAACATGAGCAGCACATATCCACACTCATCCCACAGCCACACCCATCCCCCTCTTACCTTGAACACAAAAGTATGGCAGGCAGGGATCTCCGGACGGACACCGTCTCCGGTTTACCACACAGAGCTCACTAGTGGGGCAAGGACTTGGGTTACAGGGATGAGTCACCTCTTCTACAGTGTTACCTAAAGTACTTGGCCCTGCAAAACCAAAACCAAACCAGTTTAACCAACCCAAAAGAGTAACAGAGGCCTGTAAGTGATCTGAATTAATCACGTCTGGAATAAATGGAGAGCTCACAAGCATAAAGCGAGAACTGAGTCTAGCGAGCCATTAAAACACTCAGATTCTCTGATCACTTGTGAATTTAGCATAAACATACATACATTCATAAACATAGCATAAACATACATACATTGTTTATTTATTGGGTACCGACAATACACTGGTCAATGTTCCAGACACTGGAGATACAGTAATGAACAAAACAGACAAATCTCTAACACAGAGTTTACATTCTTGTCAGGAAATGGACAATAAATAGACTGTGTGTGTGTAAATAAAAGTCAGACAATGAAAAGTAGTAAGTAGTATAAAGGGATAGAAAGTGACAGGTATATTTTGGATAGGGTGATCAAAGAGGTGCTTATGTCTAAGAGGGATAATTTAGCACATTTTACCATAAGTGATCATAACTTATTATAGTAAGAAGGATCCTGTCCCATGATTATATTTGTTAACTTGTGAAATAATGACCAAGGAAGAGTCTCACTTAATATAAAGCATATGTGATCTTTAAAGAGAGTCTTGAAATTCAAATAAAAGCATTTCTTTCCTTTTTCTCCCGTTGAAGTAGTTTTCTTCTACATATATATTTTACAGCTCTGATAGAGTCTAGGATTGTGAATATATTAGTTTTGCTTACTTGATTTTAGGCCAGACTCAGACTTAAGGCTAATAGAAGTAGGAGGGTTCTTGGAGTTCATCTCATCCAGCCCAGTCATTTTACAAATAGGGAACCTCAGGCTCAAAGAAGCGATCTGCTCAGAGTCACAGAGCTCTATATTCTAGTCTCACGCTCTCTTTTTCTCTATGCTGGTCACAAAGGCTAAGGGACATAGTCTGTTGGTCTTGATA